ATAAGTTCTTTCTTTTTGACTTTTTTTTCTTTTTTCTTAACATTTCTCATTCACCACAATTTTTCTTCAATAAAGTGGAGTAGTGTATGCTTTTCAATATCATTTTCACTTATAAAATCTTCAACCATACTTTCTTGTTCAATGAACTTAAGTGGTAAAAATCTTTATTGTTGGACTTGTTTTTTATTTTTTACCATAATTTTTTCTTCAATGAACCTTGGTGATGTAGCTTTTCAACTTTTTTTTCTTTCATTATAGAGGTGATTGTCTTAAAATCTTTTTACTTTCTTTTATTAGAATAGACTTGGTGTCATTAGGCAAAGTCTTTTAAGGGAGATTTTTTATAGCTTTAGCAATTGACCACTTGATCCTTAAGGTTTTGAATTGATGCTTCTTAATCTTAAATGATAGAGTAAAAGATCTTTTCAAAAGATATCTTTTCTTTTTGAAGTAAGGCTTGAAAAGCAAAATTATTTGAATACATTAGTTCCAAAAAAAAATGATGTGGACCTTAATTATTATTCCAAAAAAGATTTTGATGAGTCTCCTAACTTGAATTGTAAAGACTAAGTCATCTCCCACTACCATGGCTCCCTCTATATATTTCATAATAAATAAAAGGATTTTGAATGGCATTTGTTATAAAGTATTGAATTTTTCAGTCTACCATTGGTATTCATTGAAAGCAATTACTTTTAGTAGTTCATATGGTTCCTCGATAAATTTCCTAATTAGAGCTCCTCTAGTTATGGCATCGACAATGGTTCTAGTCAAGTCAACCAAACCATTGTAAAAGGTGTGTACTTGAACACACATTGGTAGTCTATGGTGAGAATATCTCTGAAGCAAGTCTTTATATCTATCATTTGCTTCATAAAGAGATTCAAAGTCATACTATTTAAAAAATGTTAAGTCATTCTTCATTTTAACTGTTTTCATTGATGGAAAGAATTTTGTTAAGAACTTATAAGATAATTCATCCCATGAGTGATAGAGTTTGAAAGAAGTGGTTGCAACCAATTCTTTGCTTTATCCCAGAGTGAGAATGGAAAAGTCATATCTAAATGATATCATTTGTAACACCATCATACTTGAATGTATCATAAATCTTCAAAAAGTTGACAATATGTGCATTTGGATCTTCATTGGGCAACCTTTCCAAATTGGAATGAATTTAAGATCATTAGGATGATAACTAGATTGATTTTAAAGTTGCCAGCTTTAATTTTAGGTCTTTTAATTCTCGATTGGATATGACCAACTTAAGGTATGGCATAATCCTTAAGAGTCCTCGATTCCAAGGTTAGACCGTACTATTCTAACACAAAAATAACAAAAAATTAAAAATAAAGATACTAAAAACAAATAAGAAAATGGTCTGAACTATAATTAGGCATGATTGGCATTAATATTAGCATTAAACTAAACCAATCCCTAGTAATGCATCAAAAACTTGTTAGCTAATCGTAAATGCATAGATCGTAACAAATAATATAATAGAAAGTAAAATTTGTTCCCATGGAGATTGTAAAAGAGTTAATACTAAGTACTGAAATTATAACACCCTAAATTATATTTAAATAAATTGAAATTAATATGTAAGAACTAAATTAAAATATTTAGCAAATAAAATAGAAAATTAACTTATGTAGAATTAACTTAAACAAACTAACAACTTGAAAATCAAAATTTAAAATACAAGAATAAAAAATTAATTTAAACATCAACTAATTATATTAATACAGTAATTAAATATGAAAATTTGAACATGTAATAACAATAAAACTAAAATTAAATAACAGCTTTATTAATTAACATGCAAATATGAATGATTAAACTAAAATAGAAACTTAAAACCAAATATAAACTTGAACTGAATTAGATAAGCTTTAATAACAACAAATTAAACCCAATCTAATATGTTTGAAACTTAAACAAAGCAAATAAATTTAAATTGTATTAAATAGAATTTAACTTATGTTAACTTAAACTTAAAAGATGCAAGAACCTTAAACCTAATCAAACTTAAACTTAATCTTATCCAAATAAATTTAACTTATGAAACTTAAATTAAACTAGAAAAGGACTTAATTAAGCTTAAATTACATGAACAGAACTTGAATTAAATCAAAATAGACAATTAAAGTAAATTAAATCACAAGAATAGAATATTAAAATAGTTTAAACTTAAATTAGATCAAAACTGAATTTAAATGGCTTGAAAACTTAAATTAAACTTGTAGAAATTTAAATTAACTTGAAAAAAAAATTGAATTGGATTGAAAATTTAAGAAAACAAAATAAAAAAATTAAAAGAACAATGAATGGTATATCATACAAAGTCTTAAACTAAAAATAACTTAAAAGAACCAAAAAAAAAAAAAACCTTTAAAAGTTATTGGATGGGCTATCACACCAATTATGTTTTTCTCAGTGCCTTGACTAGCTTATTTATACATAAAGATCCCTAAGAGTGGTATGACAACCTTGGTCTTCTATTTAGGCAAACTTTTTGAATTGATCTTGATAGGGTTCTTGAATGGGAAAGATCTTTTTGAAATGAATCTTGTTTTCCTTAAAGTAATTAATCTAGACTAAATCTTGGCTTTAAGAATATAATAGATGATGTCTTGTGTTTACTTGTTGATTTGAAAATTTCAAGACAAGGAGAAAATGGTATTGTTTTTACTTCTCTTCAAGTAGCTTAAAACTTTAAAAATTTTAGCTTATTAAGTTTTCTTGATGAATTAAATTACTTTAAAAAGAAAAGATACGGCTAGCGTTCTTTAGAGATAAAATGAATTTGCTAATTTAATTTGAACTGCTTAGTAGCCTTTTAGAAATAGTTCTCAAAGTCTTCTTAAAAGGTTCAGTTCTTGAAGGTTTCTTGATTTTGACTCGGTCATTTTTAGGCTACTTTGACTTTTTCAATTTAAATAAGATTTTAAACCTTGTCATCATGCCACATAAACATCTAAGTCAACTCTCCTAAATGAGAAATGACTTGTTGCCATGTCATCATCCATAATCCCATTCAAATGCACCTCTATAGAATACCATAGACTTGTGATAAACTTGAAAATTCCAAATCTGTCCTTATATAGCTAAAATTCCCTTTTCTTGATTTTTGCATGATTTTCACTTATTTCACTTTAAAATTCAACACATTTTTGAACCAACAAAGCCAATCTTAAACAAATTTTGCACTTTTACTTCAAGATTCTTTAAGATCTAATTAAGATTCTCCCAAATGTATCAAGAACCTATCAAGAATGATCAAAATTGATCAATATTTGCCAAGATTTACTAAGATTCAATATTTTCTTCACACAAAGGCAAATTAAGTAAATTAGAAGTAAAAATAACTTTATTTTACTAAGAATTAAGTAAAATTAACTCATTTAAGCATTGAAAATTAATCTATTTCATAGAATTATCAAATTCTACAACCATCTAAAATCACATTTGGTGTGGATGAATGAAAAATGATATCACCAATTGTGATGAATACCTTTAAAATTAAGATAATTTATTTAAGTATTTTTGTTATAATGTGAATATTACTATTAGAAATTCGAATACACATGACTTATACCCAACCCCATCTACTAACCACGTTGACCTATTTACTTGTTTATCAAGTTTGAATCATTTACAATAATGAGTTACTTTGAGTTATTAACAGGTTTTCATTAGGAACATTTTAAAAGTTTCATTTGCGAATTTATATGCATTTGAATTCAAGTTTGATTCTTAAAAATGAGTTTGCATTTCAATTTCTAATTCAACCTAATGAGCCTTAAATAAAGCAAAAGCCTTGAGTGACATTAACGTGGTGATAAGGGACAATGATGGTTTTGTTCTTGGTGCTTCTTCAACTATTGTGGAAAGAATGTGAGATACTTTAGTGGGAGAAGACTTTGCAATTGTTAAGGCTATTAGTTTGCTAAAGATATTGGTTTTAACTCAATTATGCTTGAAGGAAATGCTCTTGGACTTGTTAACCTGTTAAATTAGGCAACATTAAAATATTTATCAATCATTGACAACCTGTGGAAGGTGCATGAATTTTATGGATAGGTTTTCGAAATTTTAAAGCTATTTATGTGAGACATTCTACTATTGAAGTTACACATAAGTTAGCAAAATATGTGCTTAGTTCAAGAATAACTTTGCATCAAATTGAGGAATGCTCATCTATCCTTCATGATGCTATTATCGTTGATTGTAATGGTATTTAACATGTGAAAATTTTATTTATTAAAAATTTTTTTTACATTCTATATAGCAAAATGGAAAGAAAAACCGAAAAAGAAAACAATTGGGAAAATTGGAAAGGGAATGACACATAAAGAGTTTGGAAATCCCCCACAAAAATTGGAATAAGAACTTTTTGTTTTTGTTTTTAAAATAATATTACTAGAACAAGAAAAAACAAAGAACAAAACAACAAAACTTCACGTTCCTTAAAAGAAAAAAAATGAACAGAATACCTAATGCTTGCTCAAGCAAAGAAGAACCACACACAAAAAAGCGTTTTTGTTTGCCGAACCCATTCGACATCACTTGTTACTTTCCAATTGTGTGTTGGAACAACCCAAGACAACCTTAACATCTCCATCATATGCCCTCATGTGAAATTGCATCCCTCCAGTAAATTTACGACTTTACCCTCGCGTAACATCACCCCAACTAATAACCTGGGTAGCATTATCAAACCCAACCCTAAAAATACGATATACTACAAGCCCAAAACCTTCATCCCCATGCCACGTTTCGCGGAAATCAAAGTCAAACGTTTCCCTGCCGTATCAGTCAACAATTACAATCTCAGATCTAGTCCAGTCTCGTTCGAGAATCCCACACACACACGTCATTTCGTTTCGGTCACAGGTTTGTGCTTTTATCTTTCCCTTGTTAAGAACTTGCCCGAGCTGCCCAACTGCCCATCCCCATTGCCCGCTCTGCCCTACCATGTACCCCACTACACCTTTACTTTTGCTGTCTCTCTCTCTGTTGGAAAATGTTTTGTCTCTCTCTCTAAAAATCGGGCAAATTTTTCTCTCTTGATTTTCTCTCTCTTCAATTTTTAGTTTTCTTTTTTTTTCTTCTGTAGATCGAAAGGCGGCTCAAGAAATCGAACGCGGTGGATGGATCTGAGATTGAATTAGATCGGGTAAAAGGGAGAATCACGATCGAAGGGAATTCGGGTTTTGGATTTGTGATTGGGGAAATTAGGGTTTGGTTAAGGGGAGATTTTAGGAGATGGTGAAAGGTAGGGTTTTGGGTGGATCTAGGGTTTGGAGTTGGTGAAAGAAGGGAAAACTAACGAGGGGGAAAAGAAGATAGAAATTAGGAGGGCGGATTGATGGTACTCGAAGGGGAAAATGCAAGGCTATGCATGGGCGGGGAGGAGGTGAGGAGAGGAAAAAGGCACGGCACATGTGGACAGTCCCTACACGTGCAACGGCGGTTCTGAGTGGTGATGGTGGTGCTTCTCCCTCTTCTTCTTCTTCATCTACTATTAATTCGTTTTCAAAGGTATAACTTTTTTAAGCAAATTTTTTTTTTTACTTTTATTTGATTTGATTTGATTCAAAATTTCTTTTATTTTCTAGGTTTCTCTTTTTGTTTGCTTGTTTTGTTTGTTCGTTGTTTTGTTCTGTTAGGTGATTTGGTGAGATGGGTTGTTTCAGATTGATTTGGGGAAAAGAAGAAAGAGGTTCGATTTTGCTTGGGAACTTTGTGATGGTGGCTTGATTGATGGGAAAATGTGGAAATAGTCCTGATTTTCTTGGATTTTGTTGGCTTGGTTTTGAAATTTGTGGATGATGTGTTGAGCTCGATTGGAGATAAATTTAGAGAACGCACTATATTTTTTTGGGGATTTTTAAATTTTGGATTGATTTGTACGGAGGTATTTAACTTTGGATAGATTGTTTTGATGAGGTATATGCGTAAGAGCTTTTGTTTTGATTTTGTGGATTGTGGTTCATGTAGTGTCGCAGGTGTGGGGAGCTGTTGTAATACATAATAAGTTGGGTAAGATTGGGAAGCTTATGTTTCCTTACGTCAATTTACATTTGTTGTAAAATGAATGTTTTGTGTGCATAATTATTTTACAAGAATGATATCGTTTTTCCTGCACTAGAAGCTGTTCTACGTATGAAATGTGCTTCTGCTGACTTGTCTGAAATTTTTAATTGCGGCTTGGAGGAATAGTTGCTTAGCATGCTGTGGGGTGTTTTTCTTCATCCAAGCATAAGGGAATTCAAAGCAGAATGTGTTTCAGAGATTTTAGAAATATTTGGATTCTAGACAGATCAGTGTAAATGCACCTCAACTTTGAGAATTTGCCTACTTACAAGTGTGATGAGAAGTAATTGCCAGCGTTACTTTTTTCAAAATATTGGAAAATTTTCCTAATTTGGAAGAGCCTGAAACATGAATAAGGAAATAGTTTCTGCTTCATCATTTTGGAGGCAGAGAAGTCACCTGTGTTATTGTTGTTCAAAATTTTTGAAATCTTTCCTATATTTTCAACATCTTGAATGAAGTGATTTGCTCCATCAGGAAATTGTTTCTGTTTCAATGTTTGAGATGGGGAATAGGAAAATATTACCATGTAAAGATCTATTACGCATACTAGAGGTAGATACACTTTTATTATGAAGGAATCAGAAAGGAAGAATGCATTTTGTGTTACTTGTGGTGGATTGACCTAGGCAACAGGTTTTACTTTCTTAAATGCTGCTAGTAACAAATTTGTTCTGAATAAGTTTTTTATTCTCCCCCAAAATTTTCATTTTGAAGGATATGCTGGCAGTGTTATATGTAGTTTGCAGGGTGTTATTGCTCCCAATAGATGTCCTTGGCTGCAGTAAATGCAGTATTTGCTTCTTAATTAATTATTTGCTGTTGACTTTTAAGTTTTTTTTCCTATAAGGCAAGTCCTTCAAGTTTATTATAATTCATCCTGTTCTATTATAGGCAAAAAGTCAGTTATATTATATAAAACAATTATACGGGTCTTCCCATTATAATCATGTTTTAACCTACTTATATATGAGTGAGAAGGTGCATGATTTTTGTTATGCCCAGTATTTTCGCTGGTAAAGTTGTATGGAAATGTAAGCAGTCGTAACTTATTTCTAGCATATAATATGACAAAAAATTAGTCTTGAGAAATGCATTGGCTATCTTCAATGGAGCCGTATATGATAATATCTGTTGAAGCAGCACCTTAAACATATCCAAGGATTTACAGAAGACTGTGTGATATAAATATATCACACTTTCAGTATGCGAAATGTCAAATTTTCCTTAATTGTGGTCGTATGACAACAAATGAGTATAGCTAGCTTTGAACATTTATGAATTGCTATAACTCGTTTCTGCTAATATTGAAGTCTGGTGACCTGAGAATAATCTATGTTTAAGTTGCTCTTATATTGTATTATAGTTGATTTACCTACCATGCTCTTAATTGTTTTTATATGCATCTTTCTCTGGATATATGCATCTCAGAAATCTTTCTTATCTAATAAAGTTTGATTATTGGAATCACTACAAAATCTGATTGGTTGAACAATTTGCTAGTTGCTGCCCAAGGGTTGTTCTTTTCAATTACAATTTCCACTGCATTTAGGTTGCTTAGTCTATGAAGCTAAGATGTTGATTGTTTTTAAAAATAACTGATTAATTCCAGTTTGGGTTGTTGATCAAGCTTTTGTTTTTATTCATACAAATTGGTTATATATTCTCACTGATAAAATTTGCATACCTTGTTTCCTTCCAATAGGATGGACGCAAGATCAGTGTTGGTGACTGTGCTCTCTTTAAACCACCCCAAGATTCTCCACCTTTCATTGGAATAATTCGTTGTCTAACTACTAGTAAAGAAAATAAGTTAAAGTTGAGTGTGAATTGGCTTTATCGACCTGCTGAAGTAAAGCTTGGCAAAGGCATCCTGTTGGAAGCTGCGCCAAACGAAATTTTTTATTCCTTTCATAAGGATGAGATTCCTGCTGCATCGTTACTCCATCCGTGTAAAGTTGCATTCCTTCCTAAAGACGTTGAACTTCCGTCAGGGATTTGTTCATTTGTGTGCCGGCGAGTTTATGACATTACAAACAAGTGTTTATGGTGGCTAACTGATCAAGATTATATTAATGTGAGTTCTAGATGCTCTTGCAGATATCTAATTTAGTCTAAATTTGAAACTTTGTAGTTGATATCTTATCCTTTTGCAGGAACGACAAGAAGAAGTAGATCAACTATTATATAAGACGCGGTTAGAAATGCATGCAACAGTGCAGCCAGGTGGCCGTTCTCCAAAGCCCATTAATGGTCCGACATCATCATCACAGTTAAAACCTGGTTCAGATAGTGTACAGAACAGTGCTTCCTCATTTCCTTCTCAAGGTAAGGGAAAGAAAAGGGAGCGTGGTGATCAAGGCCCTGAACCTGTTAAACGGGAACGCACTAGTAAAATGGATGATGGGGATTCTGGTCATGGTAGACCAGAAATTAATTTAAAATCTGAGATTGCAAAAATCACTGAAAAAGGGGGACTAGAAGATTCTGAAGGAGTTGAGAAATTGGTTCAGCTAATGTTGCCTGAGAGAAATGAGAAGAAAATAGACTTGGTGAGCCGGTCAATGCTTGCTGGTGTGATAGCAGCTACTGACAAGGTTGACTGTCTTAGTCGTTTTGTTCAGCTCAGAGGGTTACCTGTTTTTGATGAATGGCTCCAGGAAGTCCACAAAGGGAAGATTGGTGATGGTAGTGGCTCCAAGGATGATAGATCAGTTGACGACTTTCTTTTAACCTTACTCCGAGCACTTGATAAGCTACCTGTAAATCTTACAGCTCTACAGATGTGTAACATTGGCAAGTCTGTGAATCATTTGCGTAGTCATAAGAATATAGAAATACAGAAAAAAGCAAGGACTTTAGTTGATACGTGGAAAAAACGAGTTGAGGCAGAGATGGATGCTAAGTCTGGTTCAAATCAGGCTGTTCCCTGGTCTGCAAGGCCTCGTCTCTCGGAAGTTTCTCACAGTGGAAACAAGCACTCCGGATCATCTGAGGTTGCCATGAAAAGTTCAGTAACACAACTTTCTGCATCTAAAACTGGTTCGGTCAAGCTTGCCCAAGGAGAAGCTGCAACCAAATCTGCTTCTGCATCTCCAGGGTCTATGAAGGCTGCAACATCGCCTGCTTCAGCCTGTACAAACCTAAAAGATGTGCAGGCACGAAATGCTACTGTGGTTGGCACCTCTGACCCTCAATCAACCATAAGGGATGAGAAAAGCAGTAGTTCTAGTCAATCCCATAACAATAGTCTTTCTTGTTCTAGTGATCATGCGAAGACTGGGGGTGTTTCTTTAAAGGAGGATGCAAGAAGTTCTGCTGCTGGTTCTGGAACAGTGACTAAGATCTCAGGTAATTCTACACGGCACCGGAAATCCATTAATGGTTTCCCAGGGCCATTGGGAGTTCTAAGGGAAACTGGATCAGGCAAAAATTCTTCTCTGCACCGAAATCCTGCTTCAGAAAAAATATCACCGTCTGGTGTAATTTGTGAAAAGTCTGTGGATGCTCCTATGGCTGAGGGTAATAGTCATAAGTTCATTGTAAAGATCCCGAATCGAGGTAGAAGCCCAGCACAAAGTGCCAGTGGAGGATCTCTTGAAGATCATTCGGTCATGAGTAGCAGAGCATCTTCTCCTGTGGTTTCTGAGAAGCATGAACAATTAGATCATAACATGAAGGAGAAGAGTGATACTTACCGGGCAAATGTTATAACGGATGTGAATATTGAATCTTGGCAGATTAATGACTTCAAGGATGTGCTGACTGGGTCTGACGAGGGAGATGGTTCACCTGCAGCTGTTCCAGATGAAGAAAACTGTAGAACTAGAGAAGATGCTAGGAAAACAACAGAAGTTACGAAAACTGCTTCCCCATCTTCTGGAAATGAACTTAAATCGGGGAAAGTGCAGGAGGCTTCTTTCAGCTCCATAAATGCTCTAATTGATAGTTGTGTCAAGTACTCTGAAGCAAATGCATGCATGCCTATTGGGGATGATGCTGGAATGAATTTACTTGCTAGTGTGGCTACTGGAGAGATTTCTAAGTCAGATGTGGCTTCGCCGATTGATTGCCCTCAAAGAAATACCCCTGTTGTTGAGCACCCTTCCACAGGCAATGATACAAAACTAAAGCCTTCTGCTGGGGATGAGGTTGTTCAAGATCGAAATCAGTCTGTTGAGAGTGCAGATGATGAGCATCTGAAGCAGGCTGTTGTTGCTGGTATTTCATGGGCTAAGAATGCAGACAGCAAGACTTGTTCCTCTCAAGAAAAATCTGGAGGAGAGCTGAATGAGCATTTAACTTCATCAAGCATGGGCTTGCCACAGACTATGGCCCCATGTCTTGAAAATGGTAAATTAAAGGAAAGTATAACAGCTGCTTTAGTCAATTTGCCCTTTGCAAGCACTGTGGAGAATACTACTGATACTGGAGATTCCAAAGAGCATCTGGAGAGAAAGGCTGGTGGAACAGATGATGATGGCAGTTTGGTTACTACAGTAAAAGGGGGCAGTTCTTTGGTAAATGAAGATAAGGTCATCGATCCAGTTGTAGAAGTTGAGAAAGTGGTTGAAGGATCTTCATCTGTACCTTCTATTGAAGTTGATGTTGAGAACAAGAAAAATGTTGTTGAAGGTTTGGAAAGAAGTTCGCAGACTCACCAGAAGTCACCAGCTGTTATTGGACATTCTTCCAAAGGAACAGATAAAGAAGCATTGCCTCCTGGTTCTGTTAAAGATACAGTTTTGGAAAATGTTGATGAAGTGAAGAATGAGAAGGATGTTGAGACTGATGCATGTAGTCATGTCAGTCACGATGAGAAGAAAAAACCTGAATGCCAAAGTAATGCTTCTCCTCTTATATATGTCAATTATATGTGAAAGTAATTATTATGTTAGCTCTCTTTTTTTTGGCATTTAGTATTTATTGATCCTTAAAATTTGTAATTAATTGTATCTATTGTTGGTTCAGCTGTCAATGTCCAGAAAGTTGAACACGTGGAGGAGAATTTAGAAGGTAGTGAGGGTCATGAACCGCGTGTTGGACCATCTCCTTGTAAGGCATCATCCACAGTAATGGAAACAGAACAACCTATGAAGCCAAGGGGATCTAAGTTGACTGGTGCTGAAGCAGATGAAGCTGAAGAAAGGACATCAGCCACCATGGATGCTCCTGCCACAAGTGGTGCTGATACAGATGCAAAAGTAGAATTTGACTTGAATGAAGGCTTTAATGCAGATGAGGGGAAATTTGGGGAACCGAATAACTTGACGGCACCTGGATGTTCGGCTCCTGTCCAATTAATTATTTCTTCTGTGTCTAGTAGCCTTCCTGCTTTGATTACTGTTGCTGCTGCTGCAAAAGGGCCCTTTATTCCCCCGGACGACCTTCTGAGGACTAAAGGGGCACTTGGTTGGAAGGGATCGGCAGCCACTAGTGCGTTTCGGCCAACTGAACCCAGAAAGACTCCGGATATGCCTGTGGGTACAAGTAACTCTTCCATCGCTGATGCTACTACTGGCAAACAAAGCCGTCCTCCATTGGAAATTGATTTGAATGTAGCTGATGAGAGAGTCATTGAGGATCTAGCTTCCCGAAGCTCTGCTCAGGGCACAGACTCTGCACCAGACCTTACTAGTAATCGTGATTTAACATGTGGGTTGGTGGGTTCTGCATCTGTTCGCTCCTCTGGGGGACTTGATCTTGATTTGAATAGAGTCGATGAGCCTGCTGATTTGGGTAATCACTCAGCTAGCAGTAGTCGTAGACTAGATGTTATGCGGCCTATGAAATCATCTTCATCAGGTGGAATTCTTAATGGTGAGTCAAATGTCCGCAGGGACTTTGATTTGAACAATGGACCTGCTGTTGATGAGGTAAGTGCTGAACCATTACTATTTAGCCAGCATAATAGAAACAGCAACGTGCCATCTCAGCCACCGGTTTCCAGCCTGCGGATAAACAATACGGAGATGGCAAATTTCTCATCATGGTTTCCTACAGGGAATACATACTCGGCAGTCACAATTCCATCAATCTTGCCTGATAGAGAACAGCCTTTTCCAATTGTTGCAACTGGTGGGCCACAAAGGGTGTTGGGCCCCCCTACTGGTGCCACTCCTTTTAATCCTGATGTCTATAGGGGACCTGTATTGTCATCTTCACCAGCAGGGCCCTTCCCTTCGACTCCTTTCCAATATCCTTTGTTCCCCTTTGGAACAACATTTCCTCTTCCTTCAACAAGCTTTTCTGGTGGTTCAACAAATTATGCTGATTCATCTCCTGGTGGAAGGCTTTGTTTCCCCCCAGTACATTCGCAATTGTTAGGACCTGCTGGTTCTGTTCCGTCCCATTACTCAAGGCCCTATGTTGTTAGCCTTCCAGATGCTTGTAATAATAGTGGTGCTGATAATGGTAGGAAATGGGGAAGGCAAGGTCTAGACTTAAATGCTGGGCCTGGAGGCCCAGACACTGAAGGAAGAGACGAGACAACACCACTTGCATCTAGGCAACTGTCTGTTGCCAGTTCACAGGCCCTGGCAGAGGAGCAACCAAGAATGTATCATGTGCCAGGTGGCATTTTGAAAAGGAAGGAACCTGAGGGAGGATGGGATGGATACAATCTTCATGGCAGTAGGAATCCTTAAATATCACAATCTTGTGACCCATGAAAGCTTGTAAGTTATTTATGTTTCTTCTCAGCTTCTTTGGCGAGGCCTCTATTTTTTCTTCCCTATTTTGCTTCTTCCATACCCACACTTGATAGTGGCAAGGGGGAGAGGCAATATTAGAATTATGGATTTCTCTTTTTGACCAATTTTACATTTATTTCATTTCCAGTTCTTCAAGGATGGACATTGGCTAACCCCCAGAGGTCATCTAACCTGTGTGCTCTTAGAGGATGGGTGGTAAGTGAGCTATTTGATGTTCATAGTCTCCGACCCCCAACTTTTCGCTGTATCAACTGTATCGTAAAAGAATCTTTTTGGGGTTTTCAAGCCATTTGTTCCTTAAATTTGTTCTGGATGCAGATCAGTTTCCCCTTTGTAGATATTATAACTGTTGGAAATCATGCGCTATGTTGCCCAGACATTAGAAATTGGTTCCCAAACCTGTTTTTTGGTGCACATCTTTCTTGCCTTTTTCTTCACTTTTTTTTTTTAAATTTTTTCCCAATTAAAGTGGTCACCGAATTTTGATTCTGAAGCCTTATCTGATCTGTCATGACCTAGTTGCTTTGGTTGATATTGTATTCTAATCTTATTTAATTTATTAACTCTAATGGTAGTTCATCTGCAACAGTTTTAATTCCTGCCAACTTTGCTATCAATGTTGTTATAAGGTATTGGCACTGAGACTGCATTGAAGTTTGAAGTTGCACTTTCACCTCAATCAATTTGCTCTTTGTGATGACCAGTGGCAACAATGTCATTCATCTTTCCAAGTGTTTTTGCTTGTGCTTCGCCTTGATTTTTTCTGTTGATTGAAGTAGGTAAAGGTCAACTGGCCAAATGATCTAAGAAGCCAAGCCTTGTTTATATTCTGGATTCTGGTCAGTAATTGGCATATTCACAGGAACTTTCTATTGCCCATTTTTATATATTGTTATTACAAGGAAGCAATAATGTTATGGTTCATGCTGTATATGATGGACAGCATGTCATGTAATTTTTGTTAGAATTTTCGATAAAGCCCTGCTATCTAAGTGGATGTTTTTGAGTGTTGCCGGCCGCTGGAGGCAGGTGCTTGTGATGCTTCTTTTGGTGGTACAACCCCCGAAACTTTATTCATCAAGGATGCGTTATGTTCATCTTTTGATTTTTTTAGGGGTTTCCCAAGTGCATACATGGGATTTTCACGTTTAAAAACCCTTCTAGGCAAATGCGATGGCTTGGCTACTTTGAAACTAAATGGAGGTCTCACAGTCTTCCAATTTAACTGACAAAAAGGTTCCTACCACGGCAGTTCTGTTTCCAAACGGAAGTGTTTCATCTAGGTTGGCAGCTAGTCAAACGATCCGATGAAAATTAAGGTTTAAGGTTCTCTATTGTATTAAACACTTGTATTGATTTACTCTGGCTTTGTTTAAAATGTTAAATTTTTAGGGATGAATGAATGAATGTTAAATTTATATCTTATACACCAAAAAAGGAAAAGTAAAAAAATGTTAGTGCCATTTTTTGCTTTGTATGGCCTTCATTGCCACTGACCATCATCGAACTCATGTTAAAATTTATTCATTCTGTGCCAACTTTCATTTAGCTTTTAGTTTTCGGATGAATACCTTCGTAGATCCATGAAGAGAAAGCATAAAGATGAATTATTTTTCAAGTACTATCGATAAACATACTTACCTATATATGTGGATCCGTTTATACAAAAGATATTATCACAACTCCGACGAAAGACGGATTTGAATCCTTTCAATTTCTTTCATGAATTCATTGACAAGGCGATTCAAGAGCTTAAGCACTGTGTAAGGCATAGAGGAAAATTATAACATTTTTCAGGAGCCATTGACATTGTAACTCTTGGTCAATCTCATGCTTTCACGGTTTCCCTAGCTGGAGAATTATACAAATGGAAAGTGGGTACGATACGCGTAACAAAGCAAACGTAAATATAAATTTGCAAATATTTTCATGGGAATACTGGAAAACACCATATTTGGTTCCTTTCAAAGGTTTTTGAGCTGGTGATTTTTTTGAAGCTTTCCTTTTTTTTTTTCTTTTTAATTTTCATTCAGCGAATAATAATATTTGGTCAAAAGAAAAGCAGATTACACTATTGGTTGAATAAATGTTTGTTTTAGGATCCAACATTTATCATGTTCTTTATTTTAGGAATCAACATTTTTTTAAAAAGTTAAAATGTAATCTTTTCGATTTTATCAATTTAAAACATTAATGAAAATTTTAATAATTATTATCAATTAATTTGGTTAACTGTAATCACTGAATTTTTCTTTAGTTTTCCTTAAATAGATAAAATTAAAATATCAGGTTGAATCTTGATATGAAAATTATAATAATAAAAGTAAGATACTAGAATAAGCATTTATCGAATTCGATGTTTTATTTAATTAATTTATATAATTATTTTTAATAGATGATATTTAATATATTTGATATTTAAATTTTAATACATTTCATCTTTTTGTCTATTTCAAAATTATAACTTTTTTTGTTATAAAAAATTAAGAGTAATTAGATTATAAGTATCATATGATTTATTATCCTAATCATGTAGTAAATATATTTTTTAAACATTAACTTTGACTAGATTGAAACAATCAATTGAAAAGAAAAGAAGGTGGAGAAATAAAGAGGAGTTAGGCAGAAGCCTAAGACAAGTTTAAACAACCCCAAACCATTCATAAACTCAGTCTGTCTCAATTCTTAAAAGGCCAATGCCTAAAGTAATGTACTCAACCTTGGTTTAGTGTTGCTGTTGAAAGTAATTTTTACATTTAAAAGTTGTTTTTGACCCAACCTTAAGATTAAATAATAAACAAATGGTTTTTAGTTTAAAATTTTGCTTTTACAATACAACAACAACAAAACAAATTTGATTTTGTAATTCAAATCAAAAAGTTATTTAAGAGATGCTTTTGTGATTAAAAAATACTCTTTATAATTATTAAATAATTATATTAATAATTTATTATCAACAAAATTAATATTATGAAGTAAAAATAATTTTGAAATACACTAAATATGAATATTAAATAAATTTAAATACTATCCTTATTATATTTACAATAATTATTAATAAAAATAATATCATTAATTTTAAATTTTGATTTCATTACAAAAATAATCACTTACGTTATATTAGCAATTTATTATATTTACTCCATATTTAAATTTAAATTTTTAATATAACAATAATTCAAATATAAAAAATTATATTATATTTTAACATTTGATTGAATTTGATGATTTGAAAAAACATTAATACCAGTATTAATAAAATTAACTTTAGATTATATCTTTCTTAAGTGTTTCAAACATATTAAAATATTAAATTTACTTAAAAATAAAATATTATCTTATAAATTAAAATATATTATTTTTAAAATTAAAATAAAAAAATAAAAAAATTAAATAACGGTCCGCTTGAGAGTTGAAAGTTAAGGTATGATATTAATTTTGGAAATTTTGGTTTGGGGGAATTGTGAAATTGAAAATTCTTGTTCGGAGAGCATTAAGAAATCGGGAATGCCGCTATTTTTTATTTTTGTTAATTTTTTTCTTATTTTTTATTTTTAATTTTAATATAAGATTAAAAAATTTTAATTTAATTTGATGTTTAATTGATTTATTAATATATATTATAAATAAAATTACGGTAAAATTACACCATCGGAAATTAAAGTTTTACGAACGAAATTTTATCACGGAATTATTTCGTCGGAGATTATCGACGACTGACCGTAATTAATAAAAAATCCCAAAATCAATTTTCCTCTCTCCCCCACAAACCCTATCCACTCCTCGACCAAGCTCTCCCACCCACCGTTCAGCTCCGCGGTCGTCGCTTCCCTCGTCAGCCAGCTCTCCACCCTCGTCGCTTCCCTCGAGTTGCCCGGCCATCACGCTGTCCTCCCTCACGTTGCCTTTCGTTGCAGTGGTGGTTGTGCTTCTGGATAGGTGGTTACTGTTACAATTTTTTTTTTAATTTCTGGAGAGTTGTTGAGTATTTTTTGGTGCCCTTCCCTGTGTTATGAGATACTGGTTTAATAGAAGCATATTTCATCCTTTATTATTATGTTTTCACTATGTCATTATTGTCTGGAATTTACCTCCTCGTGATTGTAATGGAATTGTTGAAGGCATGTTTTGTAAGACGTAAGTTGGAAATTGATGTATGGTTGAGAATTTTGGATATTATATGACTTGAATATTTTAATTCCTTATGGCTATGGTTTCCACTGGTGGTATTCTTTTGTGTTTAAAGGTTTGATGATACGTGTATGGGGAGTGTGGGTGTAGATACTGGGCTCAGTTAAAAACTGTGTGACATGTTTGAGGACTTGAAATTCCCTAACATATTACTTGCTGTAGATTTTGTACTGATGGGTGACACCACCTCTGTAATTGAGGTTGAATGCATGTTTTTGGCAACTGACTATTTCAAGTCAATTGTTTGTTGCTGTAGATTTGCTGTATGATCTGTTTTAGAAATGCTTCGTTGAGTTATTTCTGATCTCTGATTATATATAAGCTAATGGTTATACGAGTTTGTCTTCTTTTCCTAGTGCTGCTTGTTCCTTAAAGCATGCTTACGGAATTATTAGTAACAGAATTTGACATCGGTAATTATCAATGAAATTTAAAATTTATTAACATGATACTATTGCCCACTTATTTACTATCGCTAAAAATTTTTATCAGTAAATTCTTTCGGTAAATATTTTACTGGCGGAATTTAAGCTATTATCAACAAAATTTCGTCAGTAAAACTTTTTTTTTTCTGGTAGTGATAGAATTAATTATTATCAAAAGTAAATTAAAATATAATTTAGAAGTATACTATTTTAGTAATAATTTTAATACAATTAATTTTTATACTTAATCAATATTAAGATTAATTATATTTAAGAAACTATACTCGCCAGGCTTAGAGTTATTAGCATTATGTTAGTTAATTTAATAATATCTACTATTAACATTCTAATTAGATATTTGGTCAATTGATTTATATATAATATTATTATATTTATATTAATGTTAAAATGATCAAATTAGTGCATTTTTAATAATAATTACTATTCAACTTGGTAAATTTTGGTCAATTGATATATACGAATATATCTAATGTTATTATGTTAAAGTCAATTAATGCATATAACTTTTTCTAATTTAACATTCTAGTCGAACATTTGATTAATTACTGTATATTATTATATTTAACATGGTAATATTAGTACAATAATTCATATACAACATAAAAATCATTTTTTGAACAACATTAATTTTTCAATGAAAACATTTTTCTTTTTGGAATCCACACTAGTTTAAAGGCATTCACAATTCGATACTTTTTTTTTCAACAAACATGGTTTCCTTATTTTCACAAAAATACGTGATTGATCATTCAAAATTTTTCAAAATAATCAACAAAATTATTCCACATAATTAAATTTCTTGATAAAAAAAATAATAAAATACAGAAACAAATATGACTTTAGGAGTCTTTTGAAAATTAGAGTTCCTTATTAAAAATGAAAAAGGTGACAATTTTTTTTTTTTTTCAAATGGATTGAATGGTTTAGCACATCAAGGTTTTAATTTGTTTAAGAAAGCTTTACCATTTGGAGGGAATAAAAGAAAGAAATTGAAATATATGAAAAAAAACTAAGTATTGAAATTGTTCCCCCTTAATTATATTCAAAAGATTGAAAATTAGAATTCAAATAACTAAATAACTATTTAAATTAACTAACTAAACCACAACCTAACTAAGCATGCAAAACAAATGCAATTGAACTTAACAACTTAAATTAAACAAAACAGAATGTAAATTTACTTAGAAAATTTAAAAACATATAAATTAAACCTAAAGTAATATGCAAGATCATAAACTAATTAACTTAAACTTAAATTGCAATTAACAAAATTGAATTAAAGCCAATTAAATCCTAAAACATGTAAGAACTATTAAAGTTTGATTTAACAACTTAAACTTAACTAATTAAACTAAATTTAAACTTTAGACCTTCAAATAGAATCTAAATTAAAACTCAATTGCATGCAAACAACTTAAACTTAATGAATTAAACTTCAAACTACAAATTAAATTAAGAATAGAACTT